TGTACAATTTTTAAAATAGCTAAAAACTCCATTGTCCCATTTGCTTAAATATAACGCGAATACACACAATTTAACTTTGTATAGAAGAAACCCGAAACAACTTCGACAAAAAAATTAACGGTGATCTTTAGCCATTTGAAACTTGTACTTCATTCCAGAATTCAATGGGCTACAAAACTGCATACCCAGAATCTTTCTAGGAAATCGAATTAAAAAGCTCAAAATTTTTACGGAAGTTTATTTTAATTTGTTTTTTTTTTTTAGTATTTCACAAAGTTTGGATGAGTTTTGTTAGAGAATCAATAATTATTTTTTTTTATAAAAAATAACCAAAATTAAATAGCAGAAAAATAGTATGTTAAAACTTGTCAAAATATATGGTGCGGCAAAAATTTTTTAGATCACTGTAAATGTCAGCTACCCTCTTCTCGAAGACGCAATACCGTCAGTAGCGTAAATTTCGGTAATCGTTTTATCAGCCATCTCTTAGTTGTCAATTGGCTACCCGGAGCTGCGATTTGACGCCGTTAGACTTAGATGTTATGCAATGGACCTTTAGTCAGATTGTTAGCATTGACATTCCTTACGATATCATTGGGACCTACTTTCCATTCTAGCTGCATAGTGAAGTATTCCCAAGGGATCCCGAGGAAACTATCTGACGTGTTGTAAAAGCCTGTCAATAACAAGACACGAATTTTAGTCGTCGCCTAGCTTTTAGAAGAAATGTTAAACTCCTTGAAGTGTATTATTATACTACTTAGCACAGGTTGCTCCAACTCTACAACAGCTTAATCACTAAGGCATAGTTACAGAATAAACTTGTCGAAAATGCAAGCGATAATTGTCGGCCGCTAAAAAAAAAAAAATAGAGAATAGTACTATAGATCTGAAAGTATTCACCTCAGAACCCACTGGTGGTAACACAATAAGGCCTCCTCTGTGTTGGAAACGCAGGTGGTACAGAGGAAGAGCGAACGACCAGGTCGGGAAGGACTTGGCTTCCATTGGCATTGCTAACGTCAGTTCAGCGGCGTCAGTTGACGCAGACGATAAATGACTGGCGTGCTCTGTTGGACTCCACCAAAGTCTCTCAAGCGTTTACAGCGCCAATGCAGGAAAAAACAGAATCAACGTAAACTCTTGGGGTAAATTTCGCAGTTAACTCGTTCAAAGCCTTCTCATATTCGATGGTCAACTTCCATAAAGTGCTATTAAACTTTGTGATCTAATCACAACTTGGCTGTTAGAATATCTGATGATAGGCCTTGTGTATGTTGTTAGTTGATCAATTCGTGGCTGTTAATTCAGAATAGAAGGCCATAAAATGAGGTTTAGTGAGAGCTCTTGTGAGTGAATGCCACCGCCAACAAGACTGTGCGGCTCGAAAATGGTCATCAAAACCATATTTACGGAACTGCTTTCGAGGGCGTGATCGCGGCCATATAGCAGAATTAATTTAGTCTACTTTTTATATGAGGAGCCGGATTTGAGCATAACTTTTTAGTGCCTTTAACAGTTTAAATCACAGGCTCCCAGACTTTTCGTTCTTGCGGACCACAAAAAGTGAAAAAATTACAAAACTATTTTTTCGCACTATCTGTTAAAATTGCATGAGAACGGTTTACTGTTAATCTACCGGTTGATGCCTGCGTGGAGTGGTAATTTAAGTCTAGGGGCCGTTATCACCGTTACTCTGTGGCGGCGCATCTTAGTCAAGAAAACTTCCGTTACGAGTTGACCTGAAGCAACTGCAAACGGGTTAACTAAACTTGCGTTTAAGCGAACTTAAGTAACTATTTAATAGAATGTGATTTTTTGCTATTTGCTAGATACGAAATATTGCAAGAATTTTTTGAGTGTGTCACATTTTCTAAGTGAACAATGAAACATCATTGAAATAACCCGGCGCACACAACTCACGCTGATAAAACGACAAAGAAAATTTGCGAAATATTTACATATTTTCATGAACATGTATATGTATATTAGGGTGCATCACCAAAAAAAACGTTTAGTTTTTCTACCGGAATTGTAAAATATATTATATTTTAAGACTACCGCCAAAATATTTCGAAAAAATATTAAGAAAACTACAAAAAAAATTACAAAAAAAAATAAATATTTTTAAAGACTAATTTTATTAAAAAACCCGATTTTTGGAGCTATTTTCAAATAAGTTCAGCTCACGTAAATCTTAAATTTATTTACCAAATATTTTAGAGGAAGTCTTCAAATAAAATAAACTTTATATTTTTGATGGAAAAACCGTACCTAGTTTTTTTTATTGTAAGAGTGAGGCACCCTAATGTGAATAGGTATGTATGTCTGTACATATATTTATTAGCTACACAAAAGTACGTATTGTGCACATGTGTGTAGTCAGTCATAGGCAAATGTAAGTCAGTACATAATGTCAGTCAGTGTTCACTTGCAGGAAGCACACATTTTCAGCGACCTATTGAACTAAAAAGGTGGAAAATGTCAGAGCAACATAATGTCACATTAAATCGGATTTGCTAAAAGTATAAAAGAGAGTATTGTACCTAAACGTTTATAATATATATACGTATGTACATATGTACGTAGCTGCACACACCATTACACTAATTTGGATATTTGTGGCCAGCGCTAAAGCTTTTTCTGAGGCCAAAAAAGGTCCCAATAAAACAGGGTCCAACTGCTCTAAATTAATATTGCAAACTATGGTAGATATGAAAATTACTATGAATGTGGTCGAAAATATGTGATCGTGGATAGAAAGGCAAAAAATGCTTACAACGGATAAATATAAAACTGTTCAAGAAACATTTATGTACACACTGTGAGATATTCATTTCTTTTTCTTTTCATAGACATAAAATTATATACATAAACATAAACATACACATAGTTAGGTACATAAATATATACATTTTTATGCCATATGAATATATTTTTAGGAATATAAAAATACTATTTGCGGAAATTATAAGTCATTGCCCGCAAACTAGAATTTAATTAACCAAAACTTTTGGCTTTCAACAACAAATTAAGCCGTTGAATTACTAGCGAAATTAGAAATAAAAAAGTAAAAAATAAGTCGCACATACATACACATACATGTACCTTTAGCTTAATCTATTTTAAATGATTATTACGATATTTGCAACGATAAATTAAATGAAATGAAAGTTTACAATGAAATGTGTAATTTTGGGTAAAGCAATGGAACCAGTAACAGACTCTTAATGATTTAGAAATGTGAGCACAAATATAATTGTATACACATAAAACTAGATTTTTTTGTATGTACCTATAAATAAATTATGGGCTGAAGTGTCGCGTCCCATAGGTGGAGTTGGCTTACGAAACAAACCGAGAGCTCGATCTAAAAAACAGAGATTATTTTTAAGAACTAAGCAATCACCTGATGGATTAGTACTTTCGTATATTCGAGTTTTAAGCATCTAGGAGTGTTCATCGACTTTAATATGGCGTTCAGGTAGTATATAAAAATAGTAGGCGAAAGGACAGCGAGAGAAAACGGAGCTATATCGCGAATAGTTCCGAATATGGGTGCAAATTTTATTTCACATTTTAAAATGTTCGGTACTGACTATCCAATTCGAAACTAATATATTTTCCAATTTTAATGATCGACTCCATAACGTTGATAATGGTGTTTAACCTGCAGTGAGCCCTAAAGAAATCTCTTTCTTCTCCTCTCATTTTGGCAACGTTGTCCTCAGATGTCCCCGTTTTATTCTACCTTGCGTGACTCATCTAGAACTCATACATATACCAAAACATTTCGTCCGATAGCTCCAGAAAATCTCAGTTTCTAGACATCTCTTACTTTTCAGACAAAATTTTTCGTCTGTCGATTTTTTCATAGTAAATAATTCCATTTGAATACTGTGAGGCTAGTTATATAGCATGTAAAGCCTGATTGTACAATTGCTACCATCTTTACAGCAAATATGGTCCACGTGTATTGTAACCCAGGGGAGTTATTTGTCGGAGGGAAGAAGTTTTTTTGTTTTGGCTAAAAATTCTATAATTTTCAATTGTTTGGTTTTGTTGTTTTAAAAAGAAGAATAAAAATATAATTTTTTAATTTCATTTAATTTTTAGGAACTTAATTTATGCATTTTTATTCTTTTTCTTAATTTAATTCAAATTTTTTAATTGAATTTAATTTCAAAAACTTTTTTTACTCTTTACTATATTTTAGTTTAATTTAATTTTTTAATTTTTAAGTATCTATATTTTTAAACTTTTTGTTTTAAAAATCAACTTTTTTCAATTTAATTAAATCTTTTCTTTTTCTTAACAAAATTTGTTTACTTTTTCAATTGAATTATCTTTAAATTTATAGATTAGATTGTGTTAAAAAGAAAAATATTTTTTTTATTTCATTTAATTTTTAGGAACTTATTTTACATTTTTCTTTTCCTAAGTTATTTTTTTTATTTTTTAAGCCAAATTTGACTCTATTTTTAAGATTTCATAGTTTAAAAGAAAATAATTTAATTTCATTTAACTTTAAGGACCTTAAATTTTTTGGGTTATTTTTTTTTTTGTTTTTTAAATAAGTTTTCTTTAAATTTTTAGATTATTTTTTAGATTTTTCCTTAATTCGTTTAATTTTTAGAGTTCTTTTAACTTTTAGTTTTTATTGTTTTAGAAAATAAAATTTGTATATAATTTTTCATTTAAATAAAGTTTTAGAAAACTCTTTGCAATTGTATTACGAAGATTTTTATCATTCTTAAGGCTTTGGTGAGTTGAAAGACAGTTACTAGAAATATCCTGCAACTATGCAAATGTGTGTTTTATAACAAAATTAAAAAAAAAATTATAATTTTGTAAATTTTTTTAAGTAATGAAAACCTGTTCTTCTCAGTGATGGCCATACCTTAATTAATAATTTACGAGGCCTGTTTTTTCATCCAAATGTTTCGCCTGAAATTTATTATCGTATTATTCTAATAATTGTCTTTGTTTTTTCTTTTCAGCTTTAGGTTTAGTTCACACAGTGCACGCCAGCTCGCCTGGTGTTACCAGCACAGAGGCATATTTCAATGGCTCTGCCTACCTGCGATTGCTCACGCCGATGCCAATTTGGGATCATTCGGCCATAAGTTTTCGTTCCTGTCGCGGTGAGTTGCTGAAATCTATTAAAGTTTTTATAAACTAAATAAAATAAATAGTTTCGTAGTGTCTCACAGCTAAATTATTTTCTACACTCTCTCCTTTTCACCCTTTCCACAGGCGGCGAAATCTTAGCTCAACAATATAATAAAAACTCATTCGTCATCACGGTGCTGAATGATTTCCTGCAAGTCTCATTGGCCGGTCCGGCAGTGATTGGCCCCAATAATCGTTTGGATGTTAAACTACCATACAATTTGCTCGATAATCATTGGCACACGCTGCAGTTCAAGTACGAGTATGGTAATCTTTATTTGTACATCGATCGCACGTCCATGGTGTTTGGTAAGTGCGACTTACTTATGCGATGCGGTTCAATCACATCGCCTATTCCATATGTAAATATCTACTCATACATGCTCTAATTACTTAACTCTGCTCTACATTTAATTGCAGCCAATTCGACGTACAATAGCCAATTTCTAACCAATCAAGATATTGGCAATGAGGCAGCTATTTTAATATTAGGTAACTCATTCAGCGGCTGCCTGCAAGACGGCCCCGGTCTACTTTTCATCAATGGCTCTGTGCAGAACGTCGTCTATGGACCTTGTCCGCTAGCCACCGGTCCCTGCGGCGATCACGATACACTCATGCCCGGCCAGGATAACTATTGCTCAAATGATCCGTGCATGAGTCATGGTCAATGCATTTCGCTAAACGATGGCTATGAGTGTCGCTGTACGCCACGTTATTCGGGCAAGAATTGCCAAATCGACAACGGCTCGCCGTGTGCGCGTAATCCCTGCTCGAATGGCGGTAGCTGTGTGGAGGACGCACGCGGCGACTATCTATGCCAATGTGCACCCAATTACACCGGTCGAAGCTGTGAAAAAGAAATGAATGTACATCCAATATGCCAATCGAATCCCTGTCTCAACAATGGTGCTTGCATAGTAGCGCCGGGCAGCACAAAAATCGAATGCGAATGCGCCAAAGGGTATGCGGGTGCACGTTGTGAGATCGATGTGGACGATTGCGCTTCGCAGCCTTGCTTGAATAATGGCCGTTGTCTGGATTTGGTAAATGGCTTCACATGCGATTGCCGCGATACCGGCTTCACGGGTCAAGTTTGTCAAACGAACATCGATGAATGCGAGGGAAGTCCATGTAAGCATGGTGGACGCTGCTATGATCGCTATGGCGGTTTCATTTGTCAGTGTCCGGATGGCTGGGCTGGTGAGACGTGTGAGGATGCCACCAGCTGTAAGACGCAACAGTGTCTCAACGGTGGAACATGTGTGAACAAAACGATCGGCTTCTATTGTCAATGCGCGCCGGGCTACAGTGGTGAGCTGTGTCAGCAGAGCCCGCCGTGTCCGCAGTGTCCCATCGATTCGGAGTGCATAGCTGGGAAGTGTGTGTGCAAGCCAGGCACAACGGGTAAGTTTAGCAAATGGGATCTTTACTGTCGTGTCATGTAGTTAGTTCCTTTCGAAAGCATTCATTGACGTGTGCCGCCGACGCCGCGAGGATGTGGGTTTCAGTAGTTATCTTTAAGTTGATTACATATCTTTAAGATGTTAGGGGTAGATGGTTCGGTGTGGGTGAAATTTGCTTAATATTATTTCTATACAATTTACGATTTTTCATTACGCTTTAAGTTCTTAAATAAATATGCCTTTTTTAAGACTGCTTCTCTACTACTTCTTTATTAAAATATTCTCTTACTGCTGCCTTGCAAAGCTTCCGATATTAACCCATCACTAGACGAATCGAATGACAGTTGGGAATGTCTCGGGGAGAAACGTAAACGTTACATACCGCCAGATTGGTTGAAAAAGAAGCGTTGCGAGTTAAAATTAAGTAGTGAGTGTTGATAGTCAAACCCCATTATAATAGAAACCATTCGCGGTGTAGCTACCACTCTAAAGCTCCGTTGTTCTATGTATATATATTAAGTTGTTAGGCTTAAACGGAAACTCTACCTATTAGCGTATCTGTGTAGCAAGTTTTGAATGTGAATTTGTTTATTCAATAGCTTATTAATTTTATGCTTTTTCGGTATTTATTGTATATGTATTTATTCAGTGTGTAAATATATTTTCTCGGAAGGTTTGAATGGTTTAATCCCCATCCACAGAGTAAATCATTTATTTAAATCATTAAACCAGCAAAGGAAAACTTAAACAATTTTCTAGAAGCTGAAAAATAACAAGTGAAGTCATACCAAGTAACAGGAAAATTCCGGCAACAAATAAAAACTAAAAGAAATTAATTAAATAGAAGAAAANTAAAAAAAAAAACTAAACCAAATAAGTTTCTAAAAATTAAATTGAATTCAAAAAAATACTTTTCATTTGTTAAAAATTTAATTAAAAGGGAAAAAATAAAACATGCTCCTAAAAATTAAATTAAGTAAAAAACTAGTTTAAAGCAATAACATCTTAAAATTAAAATAAAATTAACTTTAAAAAGATAAAAAAATAAATAACATAATTTTCTAAAAATTAATTAAAATAAAAAAGATGTTTCTGAAACAATAAAATCTAAAATTTTTACAAACTTAAGATAAAAACAATTTTTTAAAGGAAAAGTAAAAATGTAATTTAAAAAAATATTTTTCTTTTTATAACAATAAAGGCCAAGAATTATAAGAAAATTAAATAAAAAAAGAAAAAAATTAGTGAATAAAACAAAAAAAAATAATTTCAAAAAATTCAACAAAAAAAATAAAAAATTAAATTTGTTTCTTAGAATTAAATGAAATTAAAAAAATATTTTTTTATGAGATCTTACAATTAAAATCAATAAGAAAATCAAATGAAAAAAAAACATATTTAATTAAGAAAATTAAAAAAACAAAATAAATTTTTAAGAATTATATACAAAAGTTAATATGTTTCTTTTTAAAACCTTAAGTCTAGAAATTTAAAGAAATTAAATTCAAAACTACAATCTGCTGCCCGTAGCGATATTGAAAATCTATAACTTGACTGAACCTAACAAATTTCTCATCGTCTCCTAATTTAGGACGAGTAGGACTTTAGGACGTAGGATGAGTAGTTACTGGTTTCGATTCCTGATAAAAAGTGTTTTTGAACCCACAAATAAGCGCAGAAAAGTCTCGCACGCAATCCGGTCAGGTCTAGAGAAAAAACTGTGGGTGCTTTCATGGGCGTAGCCAGGTAGGGGCAGGGGGGTGCTCGAGCCGCCCCCCTAACTTTTAAATTTTCCTTATATATATTTAAATAGTACCCTGAAATGCCAGCTTAATAGGGTCGAGCCCCGCCCCCCCTAAATTTCATTCTGGCTTCGCCGATGGGTGCTTTCCAAAACGTCAAAATACAAATCATCAGTCTCTTTTATTTCTAAACCGCACTAGACGAATAAGCCTAACTTGCGCAACCTAAAGTGAAAGTGAGATGGGAATATGGGAAGCAGGAGGCTGCTTCCTTAGCTAAAGCTGACGGGACACTAGACCACTGTGCACATGACCGCGAAGTTTACTTAGAAGTTATAGAAGTGAAGAAGAGCTATAATTTATTCCGAACTTTATATACGAGTGTCCGCACTCCGGAGAAACTCCTCAAATTCTTGGAAAACATTTCTTTGAGGTCTTTTATAGAATAAGGAAAAACCTATTGGAAGGTCTGCCTGGAGTCGCAAGAAAACCAGGATGATTTAAAGAAATACAAGGACAGGTCTTTAAAAATTGTACCCTTGATATGATTCTTCATCCAGTGCTGCCGCTGTAGAATCGTGGTCCGAAATAAGACATACAGATACAGAACTTTTTTTTATTT